TTTTTTTTTCTTTTCTTTTTTTTTTTTTCTAATTGTCGAAGATCCCTCTTTTGAAGATCTTTAGTCCATCTCGTCAACGTTTGCCTGCTATTCCGCATCTTATTGCTTTAAAATGTGTGTTCATCAACTATCACCTCTCTTTTCCGGCCAAAAAGCTTTAAGGGAAAATGAAAGAACGTCCCATGTCTCATAATAATTTTATGGTACCTGTGACAACAAAGTCTATCAACTTCAACAATTGCCTCCATAAAACGCTTAGCACTATTGCTGCCACTTTCCCCTCAACTCTTTCTCCCTCTCCTTAATTCCAAAGATGTCTCGAAACTCGTCGGTCAGTATTGTCCCGCCTGCAATGAGTGTCCCATCATGTATCCACACGTAGACTCCTTTCTTTTCATTCAAGGACTCTACCTTTACGGTATGGCTCCGAAGGCCACTTGTGATCAGAAACTGCATGAATATCAGCAAGCGGGGATTTAAGAAGGCTTAGACGTTGTGTACCATGTCATCTTTGTACTTTACCTCAAGGATGGCCTTCTGCGGGCGTGTCACTGTTTGGGATTCCAAGGCTTGAATCAATTGCTTCCTCTGTTCGGTATCGCCGATCTTCAGCAATGCATTTTGGACCAGTTCGGTCTGCTCCTTCGATTCCGAGTTCGTTACTCTCATGATACCAACAGGCTTAAACTGCAGAGTCCAAAGTTGGAACTCATACCTCCCCTGGCTTGAACAGAGAACTCCTTTTGTATTGTGAGGAACGTTGAATTGGGATGCCACTTCTGTCCCATCTGTCCAAAAGAAGTCTGGCTCAGATCCAGAATTACTCGTCTGCGTTAAGCCGGGATAGAAAGTATTGCCTGCAGCGTTACATGGTAAGCATTGCGCGCTCGCCTTTTGGCTTTCCATTCGTACCTTCAATTGATGTTCCATACGTGGAGCATACACCAACTCCTGTTGTCACATCTCTATATTCGCCATTTGCACCGGGCTTCAGAGGCATTAAGGTCCGATTGCCAATACGTATGCCCTTGACTTCGAGGGACGGGCTGTCGTCATGTGTGCTGCTGATTGCGCGGCACAGGCTGTCATCACTTTCCATTGTGGTGATGGAGCGCGATCTTCGGGAGATTTGAAAACGCACCGGATTGTTGTTGTAGTCGATTGGTGAATGATGTATTGGATCTGGTGGGAGAGCTTCTATGGCAAGCTACGGAATGAGCGTACCTTTTATGACTTATTACTCATGAACTGACCGCCTTTTGCTATTGCTGATGCGAGACTGACGCCTACTTAGCTATGTCAAAGTAAGATGTTGTCACTGTGATGAGGCCCGACACGGCTGCATGGCTGGCCTGCACACTAAGACAGTATATCTCTCAAAGCACCCCTTAGGGGGTATACTAACCCATAACTAGGCGATAGGGCTCGGACCCAGGAGGCAAGGCTGGACACCCAAAGCAACACAGCATTCAGAAGTTGTGTATTACAGTCTCACTTCAATCATCACGGCAGTAAATACCGCGTGAACGTCACGTAAAGTTCAACTGGATCGCATCTTTACGTACCGAGAACACTGTTAGATGAACTGCAGCTATAGTCTGAAGACCGTTACTGACTCTAGCACCGGTCCGCGGTTCCGTCCTCGCCTACGTCACTTCAAATCCAGGATCCATGATCCTGAGACACGTGAGCCTTGTGTGTGTGAGCTCTACGGAAAGTTAGCCACTCCAAATTGAATACCTACATCTGACATGTCCGCATAACTGCGTGGAGTTTGTGAGTCACAAAGAAAGAAGCCAAGGGAAGGGCCGGCGATGGTACCTACTAAGTTCAAGACCCCGCGCATCCTCCAGCCATTGCAGGGTACGAAATAGCCAACGGGTAAAGATGCTCATACACGCCCTTAGTCGCCCTTCCCCGTACGTTTTCTCGTTCTTCATGCAGTGAAAGTGATATGTCAGGTTGATCAGTAACGTTGCCTACGTGTATGCAGCCCTTTTCACCCTCCCAGAAACCCGCGTTGAGAGACGATCGAGACTTTCACAGGGACCATTTTCGGGCACAACATAGGCACGACCTAGCCTAGCTGAGTTCCACAGTTGGCAAATGAACTGGCTCCTCGTAATCTGGCAAGTTCACAAGGCTCTTGGCTTTGTGCTCAGGCTGATAGAGCAGGACAACAGCCAAGGATTTATGCAAGCATCAGAATAATAATGCTTCAAATGTGCACTGTACCATTGTTGTGGGAAACCTTGACGGTCCATGACCGAGTGTATGCTCCACATCTGACTTGTCAGCTATACGAATCTTACCTATGATATGGAATAGCGGTGAATACAGGTCCTCTATATGTACTCTAAACAACGTACAAGCTGAGCTTGTGCCCACACTCCAAACCTTGCCATTATCTTGAGAGTCCATGGTAGGAAGCTGGTCTCAGCCTACGCAATGCTGCATGGTTTCGACAGGGTGGATAAACCCGGACCCATGCTTATCTTTGCAGATTGGCTGTTTTGCGCTTTGCAACGGTCCGCACGTGCATTATATTGTCGTATTTATTGCTAAGAGGCCTCAAAACGTCCGTTAGCATGACGTGAGAAGTGTGTAGACGAGGAATAGCTTCAAATACCGTTACATCAGGATCTCAGGCGACCACTAGAATCCTAAGGCTGATGGCCGTTTGAATCTTCTGTTATCAAATTGACCATAAATCGTATAATCATAAGTCCCATGCATTAGTGCTTTCTAGGGCGGTTTATGGGCTCTTTGAGATACCATATTCGGATAGACAGAAATTATTTAAATACCTCGATGAGCCGCGACATGTCAAGAAACATCAGGCTGCTATTCTCCCCCTCTCTGTTAAAGGCTTCGAATCCTCCATCACTTTGTCCTTTGGAGCCGCAATGGCAACGCTGCACTATGGTACCCCAGACAGATGGGACTGGTATGCTTGCGTATGTTAACCTCTATCCATTGACTACATCAGTGTTCCTGCTAACTGGACAGAGTCAGGGGCATGTTTACACGAAAACGAAAGAGATGAAGTGTTGTTCAAATGCAGAGAAGACTAGTCATGTCGTTCGGCGTGAACATCAAATGCCCCTGCGTGGCCGGTCCCAGCACGGATGGCGTCTGGTAATAGCACACCGCGAGCAAATGAACGAGAAGGGCGTATGGAGAGAGGTATCCGAAGAAAATGGTTCTGTGAAATGGAAGGATGATGAATGGCTACAGTATCTGAAAAGTCTGCGTTGCACTGACAGCAATTGTCGGCCCCTCCATTTGTAAAATGGCTTGCACGAAATTAGATAGATAGCTTCACGTATGGCCAGACTGATGGGCTTGGAATGGAACTCCATAGAAAAGCGATTTATGGCTCAGATCGATGGTAGCATTGGCATGGCAGATTGGATAGTCGAGTTCAGCCTCCTCAATATTGTCGGTTGGTGGCTTGTGAGCCTCGTGAAGGTAATCCAGTCCAGCCTATCATGTTATACAGGTCATGTCTCCAAATAGCAGCACCATGAAGCACTCGGGGGCAACTACCTTTTACTTCTCAGTATATTCTTGCTGACGGCGCCCTTCAAGCTGTTGCCGGCAAGGTGTCATTCGATTTAGCTTATGTCGAATGAGAGATAAGCGCGATATGGGTCTCGGCGTCCCGTGATTGCAGCCGCCCTTGGCAGGAAGTCAATCTCAACTTCAGAATCACGGCCGGTTGGCCCATTATTCAGTCACTTGCCGTGACCGAAACGAACCCTGGCAATGATGACGGGGAGACGGCTGTCACGACCTTGGGATCCGAAACATGCGCCGGTCCAGAGTAGACCTCTTCTTTGCGCTTCCCGCCATTAGACGTCTCGAGATCTTTCCCCCAGGTCTCTTTGTCATTCGGGCTGGAAAGCACCGACGACCTCTTGACACAAAACTTTGCCAAATAGTTCTCGTAGACCTAGAATCGACCAGATGGGAACTTCTGTGTAATCTATCGTGTTGCTAGAGACGACGTCATCATCGTTGTTAGGCGTGGCCTTGAAGGGGTTGTGGAACTTTTCTAGAAATGCTTCGGTTATGTTGCCGTTGTAGACAATAAACGCTAAAGTGCCTGTATTGTGGGTGAGGATCCTGAGCTTGAGGTTGTGAAAGCTAGAGCATGGCGGGATGCCTTACACTGGAGACATGCGGAACTCGCATTCGTCAGTGAAAGGTCGAGGGTAAAAGTGCTTCTGCGCCATTCCAAAAAAGACGCCCAGAAAACACGCATTGTGATCCGAAAGTGATGGGACGAGCTTGCGGGCTCGGAGCTCTCGAAGCCGAAAGATAGGCTCAATCGATGACTTCCCTGGGCCAGGCGCGATACGAAAATGGTTGTTTCGGTTCGACATTAGCTGAGTCCGGGCGATGTAGCAGATTATGGGGAGATGAGAGGGGCCCTGGTTGAGCGATGACGGTGTCAAGACGTCAAAGCACTCGGCGGGTTGCGTTGATACCAATGTGAAGGAAGAATATGACGACTCTGTCTCGTCAGGGAAATTCCACATGATATGCGCGCGTACAGCATCTCGATAAATGCAACCACCAAAGTATAGATGGAGTAGATGGTTCGGCTTGCTGAAGACGCGGGGCCACAGAGTCATCGAAACCGTCTTGACAGTATTTGGAGAGTGGATCGGGTTCTTCGTGTCGGGCAAGCGTACCTGTGAGTGAATCGCTGAGAGTGGTGATGGTGTTGGATGGGTCAATATGGCTTTGTGACGTGCCTGGGGCCGTCGTAGGCCGAGCGGTATCGTATGGTGACTGTTGCGCCCATCGCGCGCCGAGAAGTTGAGCATGTAGATCAGTCCAGCGGATGGGTTTCAGGAAAAGCGCTGTGTCTTCACGCTGCTGGAAGATATCATATAAGGAGTTTCTGGCTAGCCGATAAATTCGCCGTTGATGTCGCTTTTCGTGCGGAGTGTCGATGGACCTGTGATGTGAAAGGCGTGGTGATGGGCGATGTAAGGTTATCGCCAGCGTTACGCGATCGAGCAGTCGTCGAAGTAGCAGGTCGTAATGTTGCCATATTCATCAAACTGGACGGGTGTCTAGTAAGATTTTCATTTCCAAAAAGCGACAACTGCCGCGTGGGAAAGGAAAAAAGGAGGAAAGAGCGTAAAAGAAGGGAGAAAAGACTGATTAGCTGGAACGGTCTTTTGTTGATGCGTGAGAGAAATGAATAAGTGAATCACTAAAGTCCAAGCATTTTTCAATGCTTACCTAATTGACCAAGTTCAGTCCCTTTCGGTGGCTTTTATTGTCCGAGATGAGGTAGTTTTGGATATAGCTGCCTGATAAACCTGCATGGTTCTTTCCTGGACTCGGTCATTGCTGCCCTCCGACTGTAATCATTTCACGCTAGGCTCAATGTATGAGACGAAATACGTACTGTACGGATATTCGCGTGCCTGTTAACATTTTGTAGAGTTCCTTAGATACCGGAAATACCACCCATGAGGGTCTAAGAGACCTGGCGTGGAACAGCACCCAGCCACCAGTGTTCGTGACATGTTGCAGCAGGTACCTACTGCTAAGATCCTGCTTCCTGCGTCACTCGATTCTCCTCTTCGCCAAAAAATCTACATGGATTCAAGATCGCGTTCCCCGCTCCACCGCCCTCCGTACGCGACGCGCTATGCGCTAGGCTGGTCGCTACGATTCGGCTTAGCTACCTCGACCCCACCACTGTTGAACCCGTTGCCTCCCTCCATTAGATAAGCTTTTTAGATATTTAGGCTTTCCACAGGCCATTATGGCTCCTTTGCCCGCACATGGCTCTTTTTTCTTTTGTCTTGCCCTCACATAAGGTTCTTAGGCAGGCTAGAAGATGCCTTCCTTGCTTCGATCCGTTTCTTTTTTTTTTCTCCTTCTCTTCCTCCCACTCATATCAACAATCACCACCGCATTCCCACAATAAATGGATTGCCCTCAAGCAGGAATAAGGGACTGCTGATTGAAGGAGTCATCTTGCTGCTTTTTCTGCTGGCGTTGGAAGGGGAAAATTCGGTCAGCAGCTAGGAGTTTAGGCATTTCACAATAAGATTCACACCTTGGATCCGCTGCCTTGTGTTGTCTCTTGGTATGTATCAGAACCACACGGCGATAAGCGTAGCCGAGGCAAGGCTGTGTCTTTTGATTGCCACTGCGGTGCAGTGTACTTTGGGACCGGGGAAGTCACGGTACATTGGTCCATTCACTTTTGTTTATACATGCTCGGCTTTGGACTTCATTTTGAGACTCGGTTTCGTAGACAAAGGACGGTGAATGTATGAATCTGTATGAATCTGTATGAAACTGAAGGGGCTATCTCATGGCCTACAAGATGCAACTGATGCCATCCGCTAGCATTAACAACGGGTGGAAGTCTTTCATCCACTCAATTGATGCAGTTGGGAAGCACCTCGCCGTCATTTAATTCCGTTACGCTTGCCTGTTGTTCCTGATCTTTTCCACTGCCTGTTTCATTCCAATTGGAAAGTTGCCATCTTTTGGTGCGTTTTCTTTCCCTTTCACCCATCCACCATCACTCAGATATTCAGGTGTGACTTTTTCTCCCCATGATGGTCCTAGCATGAGCGTCTCATCACGTTGGACAGCTATTCCAGTATCCTTCCCCTTCTTCCCTTTTGGGCACTTGGCGCAGTCGTTTGAAAGCCATTCTTCAACGAATATGTGATCGCCTTTGTTCTGAATAATGTCAGCCACGGCGATTATTGATTGAAAGAGTGGAAGTATATCTTACGCAAGCAGTTTTGAAGTTGCTGTATGGACCCACACTGGCTAAAACATTGGGATCAGTTGACGCACATTTTTCGGTAAATGTAAGCCCCATGTTGAAGTTTGATTTGACCTTTGGGCCTTGATTGTATGAAGTGATAAAGTGATCTTCGTGCCGAAACCGTTGGCTATGGGAATCAATGCGCCTTTTATATGCGACAACACCAATCATGTCGAATATAAGCATAGCAGAGTTTCTTGGAAGTATCCTTGCTATAGGTCCCACGGATGCGATTGGTCCCTCGTGTAAGTACGAATATCTTGGATAGTCACCTAGCAGTGTACTTCGTTTTCATTGCTTGTACAGGTTGTGGTCGCAAGTCAGATGTATCTGACTCATGCTTCGGTGGTATTGGTTCCATCAATATTGAAGAGAGCCGGCCCGCTTAGCCAGGCCGTCCTACTTCTGTCTCTGGCCTTCACAACCCAGTAGAGTTAACGTGGAGCACAACTCCGGACATAGCCTCAAACATGCGTCCATCGCTACCTGTAGCCCGTTCACCTTCGCCAAGTGATACTGACACTTGCGGTGAGCTGAATACGGGTAGCGCGTCAGGCAGTGATAGACAGTGACGTTAGGCTGACACTGAAAAGGGAATACATTTGGAAGGCGGTTAAATGTCAAGTCAGAATGTTCCTGGCACAGGGAAGGAAGGCTTCCCATCATGGAGGGCCTCAATGCCCACCGCTGCTTCGATAAGCTGAGCCTTCGTTGTCATACTTGATAGTTTGGATATGATGTAGGGGTACAAGGTCAAGGATATCGTATGTTGGCAGAATGTCGAAAAGTGTGTTGATCAACAGCTAAGCTGGTTCGTATCTAGTTACTAGGACTATCCACCAACCAATCTTTGGTCGCTAACTAGCGCGGCTCTTTAGGCAGGGGGCGTTGAGCGTGATTGTGATTATACGACGTGCGTGCAGCATGCCAACGGAAAGTCAAGTTGAATATCCATATGTGACATGTCACCATAGCTGCGTGGAGTTTGTGAGTCACGAAGACAGAACGCAGAGCAAGGATCGGCAAAGATATCTACTAGGTTCATGATCCCACGCATCCTCCGCTCATTCCTACGTACAGAAAGTCCAACGAATAGGGATGCCGCATAGGCCAGAGCTGACATGGTATTCTGCGGTTAGCCACACCGTCAGAAGTTGAGATTGATTTCCTGCCAAGACCGGCTACAATCGCGGGACGCTGAGACCCATATCGCGCTTATCTCTCATACGACATAAGCTAAATCGCCTTTCTATGGAGTTCCATTTCAAGCCCATCAGCCCGGCCATACGGGAAGCTATCCATCTAACTTCGTGTAAGCCATTTTGCAAATGGAGGAGCTGACAATTGCTCTCAGTGCAACTCAGACGTTTCGGATACCGTAGCCATTCATCATCCTTCCATTCCACAGAACCATTTTCTTCGGATGCCTCTCTCCATACGCCGTTCTCGTTCCTTTGCTCGCGGTAGCCCTCTCTTTGACCCACCGGATAACCTTCCGGGTAGGGTTGACATCTTCTTGGCGGCTTCAAAACTAGCTTGGCATACCACCCTGCACTAGTAAAGAGAAGCAATGCCATGTCGCATCTAATCTAGAAGTCTCGGCGGCTTCAAAACTAGCTTGGCATACCACCCTGCACTAGTAAAGAGAAGCAATGCCATGTCGCATCTAATCTAGAAGTCTCGGCGGCGCCATGGAAGTTAATTTACGTTGTAGTGCGCTTACCACGTCTGGCTAGTAGCTAGTGCATTTAGAAAGACTGTGACGCCTAGAAAAGTGGCGAAGTGGCACGTACAATCCCCGTAGATGTGCTTGATCAGCCCAGTCTTTGTGTTGGAAAACGAAAATAAGGCTGTTGCGCCGCATGGTAGCGTCATATGAAAACAACGTTTCTAGCCCCAACAGGTGGCTCACGACAGGGAACAAGGCAGAACCAAGTAATCTAGATAGACAAGTCGGATGACTCCCTCCTGGGGCAGGTTAGGCTATCTAATCTCCACGTCCCGTTTGTCTCTGAGCCTCGGGCGTGAGCCCGTCTCCATGGCTGTTGTGGATCGATCTGAAAGTTCTTCCAGCGGGGATGTTGGTAGCGCATTACCGACTACTGCAGTACGCTGCATCACGCTCTTGACTGCGCCGTTGAATCGCTACAACTTGAACATCTACATCTCTGCTGTCTCTTCTCTCGGTACCCTCTTATGGTCGTCTTGTAAAATCCCTGCAACTAATCGAGAGAAAAAAAAGATAAAAGCCCCTTCTCTTTCTGATCAACTCTTTTCTGCGCTCGATACTACTTTCTTTCATTTACACCATACACAATGTGTCACCCAAAGCATGACGAAGGTGCATTCGCAACAGCGGCCGGCTCCCAGATACCTGTGACACTTGTCACAGATAACCTTGAGAAATCCTCACTTGATGATCGCGTCTACCGAGTTGTTCGACTCGATAACGAGCTCGAGGCTCTTTTGGTGCACGATCCCAAGACCGACAAGGCCAGTGCTGCTCTTGACGTCAACGTAGGAAATTTCAGTGATGAATCTGATGTTCCTGGTATGGCCCATGCGGTCGAGCATGTAAGCATATCTTCACCTGATGTTCTAAATAGACAATTGGTTAATATCCTCCGTCGTTGTAGCTTCTTTTCATGGGCACAAAGAAGTTTCCCACTGAGAACGAATATGGGCAATATATCCTCGACAATTCAGGTAGCTACAATGCTTACACCTATCCAACCTCAACAAACTACCACTTCGATATTTCTGCCAAGTCAGACAAGGACCAGGAGCCTTCAGACACAAACCCATCCCCGTTGCGTGGGGCTCTGGATCGGTTTGCCCAATTCTTCATCGAACCGCTCTTTCTTTACGAGACCCTCGACCGAGAGCTGAACGCTGTTAACTCGGAGCATAAGAATAATCTTCAGGATGATGACTGGAGACTGGAACAGCTTGAAAAATCTCTTTCGAACCCTGAGCATCCCTTCCACCTATTCGGGACCGGTAATTATGAGGTTTTGAAAACCCTTCCTGAGGCACGTGGAATTAATGTCAGGGACAAGTTCATCGAGTTCCATGACAAACACTATTCGGCCAATCGCATGAAGCTGGTTGTTCTCGGGAGAGAGTCTCTTGATGTGCTTCAGAAATGGGTTGCAGAGCTTTTCTCCCCAATCGTTAATAAGAAACTCCCTCCGAACAGATGGCCTGGAGAGCTTCCATTTCGGGAGTCTGACCTGGGAATGCAATGCTTCGCAAAGCCAGTCAAGGACTTGAGGGAGCTGAACTTGTATTTTCCCTTCATCGACGAGGAGTTCATGTTCGCCACCCAACCCAGTCGTTATATCAGTCATCTTCTCGGACATGAGAGACCTGGAAGTATCATGTCATACCTCAAGTCTAAGGGCTGGGCAGATGGCCTGTATGCAGGTGCCCATCCCGTATGCCCTGGTACTCCCGACATTTTCAATGTGCAAGTCTGTTTGACGGAAGAGGTAAGGAAGGCATGGTCGTACAACAGCAAACACTGACGTACCACTACAGGGTCTTAAAAACTACGATGAGATTATCATGGTTTTCTTTCAGTACCTTACGTTGCTACGAGAAGAGCCTCCCCAGGAATGGAGATTTCAGGAACAAAAGGTGATGGCAAATGTCGCCTTCAAGTATGAGCAAAAGACACCCGCCAGTAGTTTCGCTCGCCGCATCAGTTCTGTCATGCAAAAGCCTCTTCCACGAGAATGGTTACTCAGTGGCCATACCCGACTCCGAGAATTCGCCCCTGATCAGATCGAACAGGCGCTCTCTAAGATTCGCCCGGACAATTTCCGCATGGTCATTGTGTCACGAAACCATCCCGGTAACTGGGACCAGAAAGAGAAGTGGTACGGAACTGAATACCGCCACGAGAAGATCCCCAATGATCTTATGGAGGAAATCAAGAAGGCCGCCGCAGTATCCCCGAAAGAACGCCTGCCGGCCCTTTATCTACCAAAGAAGAACGAATTCATCCCGAACGACCTCGATCTCGAGGTCAAGAAGGAGGTAGATGAGCCTGCCCTCAATCCGCAAGTACTACGCAACGATGACATTGCCAGGACATGGTGGAAGAAAGACAACACTTTCTGCGTTCCTCTCACCTACGTAGGAGTGAGCTTGAGGACCCGCCTTATCTACACTTCTGCGGAAAATACTGTCAGAGCCGACCTATTTATAGCCCTGGTTAACGATTCGCTAAGAGAACGCTCCCAATACGCTAGATTGGCTGGTTTTGATTACAGCTTGAGTCGCGATGAGCGGGGTTTGTTGTTGCTAGTCGAAGGCTATAGTGAGAAGCTTCCTACGCTGCTGGAACAAGTCGTAACAACAATGCGAGATCTCCGTACCGGACATCGCTTCGAGATCGTTAAAGAGCGACGTATTAGGGCATACGAGAACTGGCAGCTTGGAAATCCCTACACCCAGGTCTCTGACTACATCCAGTGGCTAAACGCACCTGATGGATATTTCACAATAGAAGAGCTCACGCATCAGTTTCAAGGTTCCACGATTGAAAACGTCGGACTTTTCGCGAACCAAATGCTTAGCCAGATGTTTATTGAGGTTTACGTATATGGAAATACGTACAAGAAGGATGCTCCAAGCATAACCAACATGATTGAATCTATCTTGAAGCCTCGAGCATTGCCCAGAGATCAGTGGCCCGTCATGAAGTCTCTTCTCCTGACTGAGGGCTCGAACTACGTCTTCAGAAAGACTCTCAAGGATGAGGCGAATGTCAACCATTGTGTTGAGACTTGGTTCTATGCCGGTAGTCGCGATGACCGGGAGATATGCGCCAAGACCATGCTCCTTGGCGAGATGCTCCACGTGCTTGTCTTTGATCAACTTAGAACCAAAGAGCAGCTGGGCTATATCCTGTTTAGCGGACCTGGGGCTTTTTCAACAACATATGGTTTCTACTTCCTTATCCAGAGCGAGATGACACCAGAGTTCCTCGATGCCCGTATCGAGGCGTTCCTTATGAGATACGCACACACTTTGGAAAAGATGACTGAAAACGAATTTGAAGGTCACAAGCGAAGTTTGATCAACAAAAAGTTGGAGAAGGTCATAAATTTTGATCAGGAGTGGGTTCGTCATTGGTCTCAAATTACAAACGAACGGTACGACTTTGAGCTGGGTAAGTCGAGAAAATCAAATCCAGCTGTTCATGTAGCTAACAACAAACAGCCCAACGCGACGCTGCACAAATCAAGCTGCTGACCAAGCTTGAAGTCGTGGAGTTTTACAGCAGGCTTCTCAACCCAACCTCCACTCGTCGAGCTCGTTTGTCCATCCACTTGAAAGCCCAAAACAAGGCCGAGGGCGTCGACAAGCGACAAGAGGAGGCCCAGAGAAAGGCCGATGAGGAACCATCACCTGGAAATGCTCTCGAGACTGCTCAAGAGATCACAGATGTCGGACTTTACAAGGCTGGTCTTGCTGTCAGTTCCGGTTTGGTGCCTTTCCAGGATATTGATAAACTTCCGGTTCGTGATGGCGATGATTGAAGCGGCACCCCCTTGTTTATGCCTCACTCTTTTGTAGACGATGCGGATCAAATATGTGGTCTACCATTCTTTACCTGTAGCCAGTTTAGCCATCGGCTACTCTGCTGCTTGTCAGTAACCTTTAACACCTATCTTAGAGCACCAACGAAGGCAATGCTCTGTTTCAACAACAGGCATCGACATGCTGTACCTTGTTGAGATCACAAATGAATATACCAAAAGGATTAGATTATAGTGTGATACCAAGAGCAAGAGCCGTCCATGGCCCTTTAAACATTCGTGAATAGAATCAGATGCTATGCGGTGGTACATCATGTTGTTGTTGGAGGGAAAAGTATCTCTGTCAATGCTTTTCATATCATTCGCATCATGTAGTGACCACGATATCCAAAATGAAGGCTGGCCAGTAGTCCTCTGGGATAGACCGCCTAGGCCTTCGTAGACCGAGGATCAATGAATACATCGTCAGGTCATGCCATGGTACACCGGCTCTCGGCACCATTTCTCATCCTCGTCGTTGTTGATGGACAACCTCGTCAGTACCGTTATTCTGAGTCTCGTTGCTGACATGGTGAGAGAGTGTGAGGTGGTCAGAGCTGGTCGTGAGGTGCTTTTCCATTGTAGCTTCTCCGCCTTGAACGTTAGAGCACACGAGGCCGATGGCGTTCCCATAGGGGCTTCACGGGGACATCTGGCGTATTAAGAGGGCGAAGTGGGTCACCCTTCGCCCACTAGTATACTTCGCGAACGGGAGCAATTGCGCTTGAAGGTGGATATCGTTTAACGTTAGCCTAGAAACCCCGCATCGCGTGGTGTCTTGTAGGGGGCTGGGTCCTTTCCAATGGCAAGTAGTTGGGTTTCCAAAGGGCTGAAAACGTCTTCGGGGTTCTGTCTGGAAGTTTACAATCATATCGCCGAGCACCGTGTGATGGTATTCGTTGGCGAAGCTGTTTCGAATTTTCTTGTTGGGAGGAACTTGATGGGCTTCATGTCTGCCTGCATTTTGATTGTGCATCCATCGCAGCGCTAGTGAGGTCTTTCCATGTGCCATCGGCTTTCTAAATTCGCGATGGGATGTCCCCCACTAAGTGCATATGCCAGCGGTTGGACTGTCCAACCTTGGTGGCTCGCAGGTTGTCTTTCGTCTTTTCTCCAGCGTTCAGGATTCTTGTTCGAGTCTCAGCGTTGACGGCTATGACTGCCCTACCAGTCTTCGTCACACTGGCGTACGGAGTCATTCAGGATATGGTATCACACACTTCTGCGATCAGATCCCTGACGGCGAATGCGTTTTTGCTCCCCGTAGGAAAGCTTTCGTCCAGACAGCACAGAACGCGGTCGTCGGGGGGTTTTGGGTCCTCTGGGGTGAATGGTTTGACAATGTCGCCATAGCTATTCGTGTTGGCGAAGATGGCGATGGTTTTAATGGTAGGCGTCTGAGACGGGTGAAATGTCGGTATATGCGTTCTCGATCGTTTACTCTATGACGGTGTTAACAAGCCAGCGGTCCATCTTGATGCGTCGAGTTCGTAGCTGTCGATCACTCTCGAAGACTTTTGTCTTACTCCAGGCAAGTATCAAACAGTTCAGAAATAAGATGCCTGCAGTAGCGGATCATTTTAGCCCATCCTGGTCCAGCCAACTTTACGGAGGGGCAACAAAATGGTGGGGGTTGATAGTTGGTTAAGTGTATGCAAGGTACAGAACCTGTGCGACCCCGCGCAAATGTGATTCTTTAGCGTATGTCTAGCGCAATGCCTGGTCCCCTGCCACCCACTCCGCCTTCTTGGCTACATGAGGCTCTGCTGCGCTCCATATCTCAGTCTCAAGTACTCCCGCGAATAGTTTCATACCACTACTTCGCTGCAGCCTTACTTATGGACAACCATACGCGGAGAAACAGTCTAGAATTTTAAGTACGATGATCGTAAGTCTACTAACGTCTGTGAATATGTTGGGTGAGATGAACCCACAAGAAGGCAGAGGATCTGCAACCTTATGTCCGCCGGCTGAATGCAACTCATCGTTCATTTCGTAGAAAGCCCAATTGTACTATGGGTTAGTTCTGCCACGTAATTTTCCTCATCTTTCGGCTGTGGCTTGTCTTCAACCGTGGTTAGATTTCTTGAAAAAAGCGGTCTGGTAGTGTCTGCAGGGCGATATATGATGTGTCCTTTCCTCTCGAGGTCCAGCGCCTCATGGTGTAGCACCCCGGCTCTATTTTCAGAGCCCTTGCCGCAGCAAGACAAAGTAACCTCGCAGAAATTGGCCAGGTGTCGATACCGTGTACTGACGGATAGCTTGAGAATAGGACCAGTTGGCCGTCATTCATGTTCCCACTCACAAAAAGCCATGCCCGAAACTCACCGCGGCTGTGGGAACACCTATTCCAACCTGAACGGGTTACTTGCGAGATTCGCTTGGCCTACAACAATCCCTTCATATAGGAACGGTACCGTAGGAGAGACCGTACAGTACCATCAACAGCACCCTTCGTCTAGCAAGACTTGCAAGCTTCCGTAATCAGATTCAAGAATAAGTTAGGACGCTATTAAGTGTATGGTATAGTATTCGGGTGATGCAAGATCGCTATCGGACTTCCTTGCCTCTAGATCACCTGGCATGTTGACAGGCTACATGCTGGTCAGCTATGGAATCACCCCTTTTACACCTATCTTCCCCCTTCTTTATATTTGTAAACATGTCTTCATACTTCCGTTGTCATTTCCGTACATAGAAGGACCGGTTGTTAATTCCATGTTTGTGTCTGGACTCCTACCAAAACGGCCTTGAAGTACCCGTCGTCTACCTACAAGTCATTCTTTCACGTGTCATTCAATACACCGACCGCCTCGTGTGACTATACACCTCTTTGACCTTCTGCTATTTCTTCACTTCCTTTGGGCTACCCTTCTTCCTTCCCTCCTGAGTCCCTAGACCATAGTCATCAAGACAGGCACCGAACTCCCTGTACCACCTGGAAGCCAACCCTTACTGTCATTTCGTCTGCAGGTAAGCCAAAGCACAAGCTGCGGCAAACTCCGAAGTCTAGGGTAGTCCACTGGGAGCTTCCTTGAAATGCTCTTAAGAGCTGCAGCTCGGCCGAACATATTTGAGCTGCCTTCTGACGACCAGGACTGGACATGTAGACTTCGAGAGGTGCCACATAATATTCTAACGTGACGACACCCACCTAGTATGCTCCGCAGGCAGCTCAGGCTAGTCATAATCTTGAGAGTTAATTGAAGGTGATGGATGGCTGTTCCTCTTCGGTGTCGCGAACCTGTTGAGGGAATTTAGCGGGACACATCGAGAACACGCTGAATATACCCCACCGAATATCTGATGCAAGTGGAACATGACTTGACCCCAACTCCTAAACCAAAAGAACGTGGCTCTTTTGAGGCTAGCTGGATACTTATTCGTAGACGGGAGATACATACTGATTTTGAATATACTATGACAGTGAACTGTAACCAATATGCTCGCTAGAAAAGGATTTGTCTTCGTCCTGTTGTATCTCTTCACTTGGTCGAATGTATCGTTACACCTTTGGGATCCCTTTACACCTTCTAATCCTCCATCACCCTAGCCATCATCAGGCTGGCGGCTGTAATTGCCGGCAAACGCCGCCGAGTCCATCTATTTAGACCTTGTAGTCCCTCTTATTAGACAGATTCTCCATGGCCTGCGGCATGTTCTTGTAAAGCTTTGGGCTAAATCCTCCTTATTCGTAGCACAGAGTGCTTCGTCGTTCCTCTTCATCGTGTTGACCAGCTATTTGGCAACCTCGCCAATGGTAGAGGTCTGAGCGTCGCCCATCTGCCCAGTAGGGAAATCTCACCACTGGCTGTCCGACAGCTTCCCCAGAACGTCGTATACACCCAGATGTTGGCTAGGTCCAAGGCTAGACCCATCTCACCCGTCGGCAAAATTGTTGGTGCTCTCATGGAGTGCCTGAAGGGCCTCCTTCCCCATTTCAAATGAGTCCTCAGCCACGGGGGTCATCCTTTGTGACAACGATCAGGTCAAGCACAGAGTTTGGCCTTCTTGCTCGCCAACTTTTTTGACAAGAGTTTCCCACCAAGCGTCTCTCTTGCCCAAGTCGTCGGCGACGGGTGTTGGGTTATGTTGGAGCTCTGGGTCCACATCAATCCATTTCCATATCCGTTTGAGCGCCTTGTATAATAGCCTGACACTCTAGTAGGGGATGTCAGTATCCGAAGTCTACACCAGACTGATTCTTGTAGTAGAGCTGACCAAGGACAGAACTAGTCTATCCTTTGGTATAGGTTACGAGAATGGGAGGATTGTGTTTCTGTTTTTCACTTACACTTCGAACTGATTCCTCCGAAACCCTTTCAAACCAACGTTGTGATACGTCCCTGTGTTCGAGTGTCGTAGAGAGCAGACCCAAGAAGAAAACCGGGAGCAACGGTGCCTGGGCCGTGAAACATGACCCCGATGTTGGCATAATACGTATGCACTTGGCGAGAAGTTCCATATTGTGAACAACAGCCTCATGGTCTCGTGGTAGCCTAGATTGGTCACATTGATGTTAGTGTACTTGCCCTGTTGAACTTTATGTGACAGGGGTAGGGACAAAAAGGGAGGGAAAGAAAATAGTCATGCTTTTACATGACCCTTCTTCGACCGGTCCTCCTATTTCTCGCCCTCCTCTTTTCATTCTCTTTCAAGGCTTACCTTAAGAGTCGGCATAGATAATAGATTATCGCTGCTATTCTCCATGCCTCGGCAGTAACCTCCGTCATTTCCTCTTTCGAGGATATCACAAAACCGTCCGAGGCGTCACGCACCCAGGTTATCGTCTCGGGGCGCGGCTGGCGTTCTTTCAAAGATTTCCCCTCACGATTCCACTGACGTATCCGTGTCAATTTACTAAATATGAATTTCGCTGTTGAGGGAACCACAGGACTCCAAGGTTCCTGCTGTAAGCGTGCTGCGCAGTATGTGACCTGGCTCCAAGTGTGCAATATCAACTTTGAAAATCCACAACCGCCATGAATCTCGGACATTTCACCCTCTGTGCCATACAAGAGCCAGTCAAATCTCGTGCATTCGGTCTCAGGGTTCATGGGAAGAGGGAGTTCCATCATGGATTCGGCAAGAATCACTGCCCGACCAACGATAATGGATTGAGAAATGCGAAGCCGATCGAATCGGTGGGAGCGCTTCTGGTTCCAGAACCTATGACCGGGATCCGTTTGTCGGAGGAGATACTCACATAGCTTAAACCCCCCTAGCCATTGAGACTTTCCATCCTTTTCCAGACGTTTTTCAGTAAGAATAACCTAGGAAGCTGTTAATTTAAATAACAACAAGACCAACAAAATATAGGTTGCAAATAGTATCATACATACATCATGCATAGATAGAAATATGGCCATAGTGATGACTTCTTGACACCACATGTTACTTTTAGACCCTTTCAGTAATTTGTCAAGCTCTTGAACCGCCATGGCATATAGTTCGTTAGCTCGTTTTCGAAGATGCTGATCGGCCAAATAGTCATGTATGTAAATAAAGGAAAGACTTTGCACAGCATACGATATGCCTTTGACTCTACACATTGGAGCGAAATCCTCTCGCCAAACATTTGTGCTATCGAGAACAGACCTTCCAGGGCACCAGCTTTCAGCGTCTATACGGGCAGTCAGCAGACGCATGGGTGGAGTTGGGTAGGCTGACGAGCTCTAGCTATCAATATCATCGGGGAACTTACAGAATATGAATGCCTTTTTGCCCCACTTGTCCATCTTAGACCAAGCATCTAGGCGCCCGAAGCATGGTGGAAGCTTCGGCGGAGCGTGTGCAGAAACGTCTTGGAATGAAGATGGTGCATTCGGCATCGTTGTCTGTGATGGAGTGCTGCCTGAGAACTTTGATTCGATGCCCGTGGACGGCGGAGCCCTATGCTGCACCTGAGCTGTCATGGACACAGCCGTATTGGAGTATACTGTCCTAGAGCTTTTACAGTCCGGACAGGATCTTACGTGCTGAGTACCGCCGCCTGATTGCACCGGTGCAGGACCAAGTGGTTCGTTTGCTTGTTCTTCTCTTGGCCAGTTGCATTTAATATGACCATTGATTCGTCCATCCCGAGGGCGGTCGAAGAGAGGATTGAGGAGCTCAGGGAGCCGATTCTCGTCTGAAGTGAAAGGGTTGTCAAAACATTTATGTAATACTTTCTCAAGACTATATGGAGCATCGGGTTCGAGATCGTCATGTGAAGCGGGGCTTGATGTCGCAGGTTGGGGTGCTGTGTGGAGGGTCAGTGAAGTTATACCATAGTTCTGTTGGCATGTTTAGGGAAGCATCAATTCCTCTAAGGCTATAACACGAACGCAGATAGAAGACAGACGGGCTGCAAATCAGAACGTACATCAGGGACATGATAGGGTTCATGGTAAGGCACCATGGATCTAACACGTTCCTTGTCTTCTTCAACTTTCATCGTTTTGCGTTTTCATGACATCCATCTGAGCTCGAAACTGTTGGAGAGGGTCTGATGGGGAGGACAACAAAGAAGAATGACGATACAAAATCTCAGAGGGGATAAAAACAGGGAGGGGGGAACCAGGTAGCGAAGCTTTGGGGTAGAGAGATGATGACCTCATTGTTTTACCTACTTGTTAAAGCAGTGGTCGCAGAGGTCCCGCCTGGAAAGTAGTGGCAATGTTTTTTTTGAGGTGGCGGCGACCTTTCAGGAGATGGGTACACGGTGGTGTCCGTGTCATCAGGTTTGATGTTATCAGGATAACGCCTTTTCATTTCGATAGCCTCGTGTCTAGTTTGACCAGATGGATGCGATAGATACCCTGTATCGAACTTTCGATTGATGATAGGCGCCCTGATAAGTCCAGTGGACCTGCGTGTAAGTGTGGATAAAAAGATGAATGACGGTTTCCTTGGCGTTGAAAGTGCACATAACGACGCATGCAATGAGTAGACAAGGAAAAGGTCAGATGGAAATAAGGCAACCGCAGGACCACCGCTGGGGGCACTGTTGTTTATAAGCCAGGGACCCTAGGCAAAAGCAAAAATAAGCTAGCCTTAGTGGAATGCGGACCGTCAGATAGCACATCCCGGGTACCATTGTGACTATGGCCAAAACCCAAGACAATGGATCTAACTCAGCCGTAGGCGAACGGGAAGTGGATGGTGCGTGCGCGGCTTGTCGATTTGACAGGGGCACGGGCATGCTGCTGCTGTGGGACTCCTGTGTTCTGCAGCCCCTGCTCCAAAGCGTATGAAGCAGCGAGGCGACAAGATGGGGTGCATGGAGCCCACAGATGGGCAAACCGGGATTGCAAGGGCTTAGTCTGCGGTAGCGACTGGGGCTGTTAACGCTAGTGCCTTAACAGCTTGGCAAGCATGCGAGATCTGGGAGAGTTTAGCGTCTTGCTTACCCGCTGGTCTAGTCCCAATACAACAGTCCGTTGTTATCGCTTGTTCCCCAACAATCGCCAGAGCCTACCAATGTATGCACTGTGTCTGGTACCTCAATCCCGCTTTGGCATTGCGACGTTTCCACATCCAATCTCCCACCAAGCACGTTGGTGTCTCCCTACGTCATCCCACACAGGTGTCGACGTCGAGATTTCCACAGACCTATACAGAGGAAGGGGCAGAAAGTTTTGACCTGCACCCCTGTTACTGTTATCCTTGTAAGCTCCATAGGTACAATAAGTACAAGAGCTTTTAGAGTATTTTATTATTATAGGGAATTGATACCTCTATAATATAGGGGCTTAATTAAGCTATAGTCAATAGCTACTGCTAATTTTATTATTTTATTAGAGAGCTTTAGGTACTTTAAGATGCACTTAAGTACCGAAAGTACTAAATTAACTCTGATTGGCTATATAAGATAACAGTAACAGGGGTGCAGGTCAAAACTTTCTGGCGCTGCCTCTGTAGACTTCGGAGGAATACGACATGGCCTTCCACCAATATTCCGTAGTCTACTCCACACGTTCTTCTCGTCTTCTTTCGCAGTCCTAGACGGACGAGTACGAGACACCGATGTGAACAAGAAGCAGATCAAGACGGTGGATCATGCTTCACGCTTTGCAACAGCCAAGGTACTATGCGGCATTCCGAAATCTATCCTTTGTTAAGGACTATTGCAGCCGGTGATTGAGCTCATAGTCAAAAGATAACCTGTGAATCTCACCATGCCGACCGCTTTCTTTGGCGGGGCATCGGCGGATAAGATCAGGTGTCAGGCTCACTCTTTTGACATGGAGAACTGGCACAAAGGCTTCTGGGTTGTTTCCTTTGCTTTGCTATGCGTTTAGGTGTGTGCATCGTCCTTCTCATCGCGACCTCCTGGGGTAAATATTACAGCATCCCAAAAGTCCCGCGGGCCAATAAATGTGGCCCTAAGGATCGAACTGCCGAAGTCTAGGAGATGAACCGCCCCTTCGGCAGCGACGCTGTCTTCTGCATTCTTTATGGGAATCTCGTCCGCAGGGAGGCTTTCGTCGAACGTACCCGTCTCTTTTGCAACCGCAAGTGGCGATACTGCCAGCGATAAATTGGCGTGGATGTCCCCTGGGGCATCATGAGAAATCTCACATTAAGGTGACACATGATACTTTTTTCTTGGTCCTCTCGCAGTATAATGACCGATATGACAGTGGTCTCTACGGTCAGTACTCATTGGGCATTCACTTTCGACTTCGCTACAAAGATCGCCCCAACACCAAGGACCATACCGTTCGATCTTATGGTACGACCTGATGAAGCGCACGGTCGACTGTCTGACCTTCCTGCTAACAAGTATACTGTCTACCTCAAGATTACTACTGAGCGTGACTCGAATCCTCAGTCCTTTTGAGCAAGTTGTTAAGCGCGAAGTTGCTCAGTTGGGTTACGCCTACGATCTTGTTCACAGTAAGGCTTGGGATTAAATGAATAAATTTACCAAGCTGCGCGCGAAGAAGGATCAGAAGAAGGCTTCCGTCTACTGTCAAAAGGGGCGACGACGAATGTGGGAGAGGCTTGCGACCAACCGTGAGGTCTCCAAGTAGCAGACCAAGAAGAACCTGGAGGATAAAAAGCATCGTCGTGCTGAATGGGAAACTGAACAGACTCGTTTTGATGAGGAGCTCAACGCCAAGGTCAAGGCTGAGCGAGAGCAGATGAAGGAGAGACTCACCAAGGTCGATTCCGAGAAGGCTACTGAAGTTGAGAAGAGGGCTCAGGAGACCGCTGACGAGGCATTGAGAAAGAAGACAGAGGACATCGGGTTTTGGTTTAACGACAAGGATGAGACTGTTGCTTACGGGAATCATAAGGACAACGACAACGACGATATTGTTGTTTCATGTTCCACTGAGTCTCCCCAATCCTCTCCCAAGAGTGTCGATTTGATAGCCGATCTCACTCAACAGAAGCAGTAGTTGCCGACTGTCAACGGAGCTCCTCCCATATCTACTCAGCAAGAGGACGCCTTGGTGGTTCGTGCCCGACTTGTCTACGGCTTTGCCGGTGAGTCATGAAGCTCCCGTGTTGTGTACTGGGAGGCTCTACACAGCAGCGACGACATGGCTCGTGTGCTTCGATTGACACCGGCTGGTTCTACCCTCGTTGTTGCTCAGAACGAGTATAACTCTGCAGAGGAGAAACACTGTTGTGTAGTATGGTGAGCTCGATCACGGAAGCATGGGGCTTAAGGATTATGCTGATATCGACGACGGTCAGTGCTACGTAAGCAATGTACGAGTTCCAGATGAGCACGCTTCTGAGTTCTATCCTAAACACAAATTGTTGACCTTTTCGTGATTCCGTAGCATCAAGAAGCATTTGTCAGATACCCTAACTCCTGCCATTGCACATAACGAACCGAGCTCAATAGTTTGGCCTTGCAATTTCCAGCAACTGTTTTTCTGGCCTTCCTAGACTCTAAGTTACGATGACAACTTTGTGCATCCGCCATTTGCTTTTGTGCCAACTTCTTCTAGAGTCATACCTAATGGGATCCGATCATTGTCATTTTGTGTACACCATAGCAGGAAGCATAAGGATTTAAAAACTATAATATGTTGTCGTCACTGACAGAAGGCTTCTATATGCGCTTTAATTTCTCCCACCCAGTTCTCCTTCTCCAAACTTGTCATACTGATACCCTCAATATCCTCCAAATGTTTTATAATTAATTTGTCGATGCCTTCATGATAGAAAACTCTGGCCACCTGTCCAACTTCATCTATGAAAAGTCCATCCATATTGTCAACAGACTTGTGACTGTTCTGGAATGCACCGGCGGCAGGATCGCGCGACCTCGGATCATTGAGACAGGACTTTATTGTCTCCCCTTCCTCACTTATGTTGATCTCAACCATTTGGTCTTCCACGCAAAGTCGGAATTGGGGATTGATGTGAACTTCCTGTTTAGAGCCGTCTTTCCCCAGTTTCATCGTTTTCGTTGCAAATAGAGATTTCGAGTGGGGGATCAAGGCAGCCAATATCGCTCGGGGCGCTGTGATGTTTTGTATCTGTGTAGACTCCGATCTCAAGTCGGCCTGGCCCGTTGAGCTTGATGCTCTACTTCTAGTCGTTTCTTTGTTGATCGGGCCTTCGATACTGCTGGGTAACTGACCTTCTCGGCAAGAATTCGATTCCGACTTGACCAGACCCACTGAGCTTGATGCTTCAGTTCTCGTCACTCTGTTGCTGATCGAGCCCTCAATGTCCCTGTGCGATTCGTCTCCTTGGCTAGGCACTGTTTCCAGGTCGACTAGGTTCGCTGAGCTTGATACTACGTTTCTGGTTACTCCATGGTTTCTTTGCGAAGAAGAGACTACTCACTGTTGAACTGGCCTTCCACATGGCTAGGCAATTGATGTTTTCGACGATAAAGATAGTAAGTTACGCCTGGGATAAGGATTAATGACAAAAACGCCACCCCCAGAACAATGCAAATTATGGGAGTTTTGGACATTTTAAACCTGATCGGCCCTCCACAGCCAATCTAACAATGCTAATTGTTATCGTGTATCAGAATTTGAGAAACACAGTACGTGAGTGGAGTAAAGATGACGGAAATAAGAATGCTCTAAGAGAGGTCCGGAATATGAGAGCTTCTTTGGTAGACTGTTGTTGACAAGTTCTACCTGTGGTTGTCTCGTCGGAACATATAGCCTTTAAATTACACCGGCTTTTTGCTTTTGCGTCTTAGCGGGAAGCCGCCTTCAATCCGCTTCCGCACTTCATTTACGCAGGCCTGCTAGCGTCAGAGTGGCCATTGCGTCCCGCCGCGGTCTCTTAGTCTGCCGATCACTCATCCACTGCGGTTCATGATCCCCTTATCACACTGGCACGTTACTTTGGAGGCGCACGGCCCGGTCCTTGATGTTCAAGTTGTGTTTGTTCATTTGGTCACACTGCTATCGAACAAATGGTCAATATGGTTGGCCTCTTTAGCAACAGCATGCCACGTTGTCTCTTCCGTGGGGAACAACGACCGGTGAGAGACTACTGCTAGAATAGCGGCCCCTTGACCAAAGTTCAGCTTGGATATGGCGTAGCTGAGCCAGAAATAGAAATGCAGAACATTTCTCAAAATCATCGGGGCTGTATTGCTTAGTACCTAGATAGCATGGGTTTCTGGACTTCATGATACTCCAAGAGCTGGCTTTATGCATGATCTCCGCCGAACCAAGCGAATTGAGGGTTTGTTCCTGGCCGGTCTTTGACCCACCAGGTAAGCTTCCGGGTAGGGTTGGCACCATCTTGACGGCTTTAGCGGGTACGGGAACCAGCTTACTGCACCACCCTGCATGATCGAGAAGTTGTGGGTTAATCTCCTTACCTCGTTGGGATGACTAGTCAGTTTGTCACATGGACTCAGCAACACTGCGGGACTGCTGAAGACAGTGTAGTAAAACGGGTGCTGAATTTACATTATAGTCACCCGATACAGTGGTGTTGCTCCTTATTTTTCATGTCTCGTCGACCCGCAATTCTATTCTATTGCAAATAGCCGGTGGAGCAACGGCTGACATCAACAGTCGCAAGACTGGCTCTCAAATTCAGTGCGGAAGGCCCCCGCATACCGAATAGCATCAGCAACATTCTATCGGAGATCTTCTCCGCCAGGTCAAGAATACGGAGCCTAGGACCTACAGCTGAACCAAAAAGGCCTGTTTAACTTTATTCTCTTACGGTATTAGTGTAATCCAACCAACCCCTGGCAGCTCTGATTGGCCGCCATGGAAGCCCAAAGGTATCTCAACAAATCCCTCGTTGCTGTGATTGTTAGAATTACGGTTTTGTGACATGATGGAATATGGATAAGAAGTCCGAGCTATAGGGTACGTGGAATCTTTATGTTACCGTCATTAGCTGACACTACGTCATAAATCAACAGGAAAACCAGCACTGCGGGGTATGCGCGAATTAATGGAACAATACATTTGCGGAACAACGTGTTCAAAGGAGCACCTACCCTCTTTTCTTCCTTCCAACCTAGAAACAACAACCAAATATTATCGCCATCATGGCGTATTCGACATCAACGCCTTGCGGACCTTTTCGCTATCCCGCTGAGAAAATCATCGACTATGCCATAAGTGCAGCCAAGGGCAAGACCAAACCATGTCTGAAGTACGCTGGGCATGATGATGCTTATGCATCAACCATTTCTATTGCACAGCACTCTTGGTTGATGGCTGCATTATGCCTTGGCCTACCTTCCCATATTGATGATTCAAAACTAGACATAAGTCACTGTATACAACTGTCGGTAGTGTATGGAATGATGGAACTCAACGAAGACCTTTGCCGATACAATTCCGCGGAGGGCCTACTCAAAGAGCTCAAAGAGGGCCAAACCTTGGCAAGCCGAATAGTTCTAGAGGTCGACAAAATTGCAATGTCCCTACTAGCCCGGCGCGAGATCAGGCTGCCGCCATTTGTCTTGCTTCAGAGTTGGGCCGAAGAAATCCTTCGTAAGCTTCCCATGGATCAAGAGTACAATGGAACGGCAGGCTTGAGCAAACCTGTGGGATGGTCTGTGCAGTACCAACTTCAAGCAAAAGATTTGCCATGCCCAAGAGATCATGAAAAAAGTCTGGCCGTTTTCGCGCGTGTCGCTGCTTATCTTCTGAGCTTGTCGCGTCAGGGTTGGGTGGATAACTACATACCGTATGTTTCACTATTTCTCCTCCCTGAGCTTCGTCAAAGCTAACACTCATATAGGGAACCAGAGACAGTTCCTGATCATTCGTGGTTGATGGCTGTACTGTGTTTTATACTTGCCGAAAATGAGACCGTGATCATCAAGTACGCTGTGCAAGCATGTATAGTTCACGACATAGCCGAGTCTCTGGTGGGCGACATTACATACCGAGACGGAATCTGCAGAGAAGAAAAGTTTGCTCGCGAGAGCCATACAATAGACTTCTTACAAAGCCAGCTTCCAAACCACTCACCTCTCAAGTTAAGTTGGGATAGGTTTGAGAGCGGAGAGACCCTCACTTACAAAATTGCTAAAGATCTTGACAGAGTAGATTTGGGGTTACAAGCGTACATCTACGAGAGACGGTATGGGAAGAAACTAGAAGAATTTTTCCACTCGGCCTCAAGGGTGAAGACCTGCCCTGAACTGGTCAAGGAGATCAAAGCAAAGAGGGTTATTGAAGGAGTTGGGACTCTGGATCCCACCAAGGAACAGAAGCTTAACGAATACTATGGGCCATAGATATACCGGAACCTACTACAGACGGTTGTTCATGCTGCAGTCTAGGTAATCAACCGTATATTAATCCAACGAATGGAGATTTTCAACTAGTAGTGATGGTAAGCAGAGTGTCAATTATAGTACTGAACAGTGGGCGTGCTATGACCGGATAATGACCTCATAAAATGAATTTAATATCTCAGATGCAGTCACTACTGTTCTTGGTCATAACCAATACGAGATGGATTCAAATAGTTGACAAGTTAGCCTGAGATCAAAAGCCTCTCTTACTGTCATACGTCAATAACGTTTGGCAGTGGATAAGGGTTTGCGAAATCACAGATCAGATAATTTGTTCAAATTGCCAACGTTTGTTGTACTTGGTATATTTCGTCATATTGACCCATATCCCATGAGTCTCTGTGATGTAAGATGACGTTACCTGGGATTTATGGCGGTACCTATCACGTGATGGGAGGCGACCTGTATCGTACTTCGCAGGGTTCGTATGATAAACGCGAACGCGTCATCATCCAATAGTGCTAGGTCCAATTAACGCAAAATGGACAGCCAACAACCACAACAACAGGATGCGTTTGCTGACCTGATATCACCGTCCATGCAGTGTTACGGGGCCCAAGAACGATCTTCGCAACCTGGCTTGGCCTATACTAGTAGTGCATCATCGCTGTATCGCAGGAATCACCTTGCCCAACCAGACGACTCAACAGAAATGGGTCTACAGAACAGCCGGACAAATCATTCTGACTCCGAGGGAAGTTTTGCCGACACGCATTACAGTTACGAACCTGGCTATCTTAAATCGGTACCGCGACGGCCTCTTCGACAGGTTATTGGTCATTTACCACACGGCGAGCAAATTCAGCAGCGCTTTTGTCATGAACATCTTGATTCTGAAGGCGATACCCATAACCTAGTTGCTGCTACCAGAAGCGGAATATGGAACCCCTGGAACACAGCCTTTCCCTCTCTACAACATTCGCTTACAACTCCGACAATGGAAGAGCTAGAGCACGGGACCCTGCCCAGAGCAGATTGGGCTTTCCACGGCCAGCAAGTTCTGATGCCGCCCTGTCCTCAAACGTCGAGCTTTACAGACAAGTCACAACTTAGTACTCTCCCTTATCATCATCCTATCTATTCCCTAGGCTTGACAATTGATGACTATTCTCAAAACGCAGAGATGCAGGGAATAGAAGCCTCTTCACCGAACAGCCGACCAGCATTAAACTGTCATATTCAACCTCAGCCATTCCAGACTTTCAATAACTTGACTCCGCAGGATCATCTTTACCCGCTGAGCGTAGATCTGAAGTGGTTCACACCGTCATATCAACACACATCTCTCCCATGCGAAGAGGGACAGGGTACTTCTCAGATATATGAAGACACTTTCCAAAACAGTCAGGCTGGCCAGGCACAACTTGAACTTTCGTTCCTCCGAGATTGCGCTTACGGTAGTCCGCTAGGCCCGTCACACACAGGTCTCAACCTGCCTTTATCGCAACCTGCCGCCTCTGCGATTGACGATGGCCCGCAGACACAGTCTGACTCTCTTACCGCTGGGACCCTTTTTCCTGCTGATGTGTCTCAAGGGCTGATGGTACCTGTCTTACCCACTCCGGAAAGGTACAAGTCCTTTTTCAACCTAACATGCAATCTGGGCGCAAGCAAAGCTCAAGACGGCCAGAAGGAACATGCATGGTTGGAAGCCCTAAATATAACGGTCCATGACTTTCACGCTCTGTTTCGCAAGACCAAAAAGCGAAGACCTGGGCCTTCCGGGAGCGCATGTGTAAGATGCAGTTTTGAAAAGATCAAAGTAAGTTATGAAGCCGAGCTATAGTGTCCCAAGACCTGACGGTTTAGTAGTGCGATGTACCACCTGATGGTCCAGGGACCTGTCTCAACTGTAACAAGCTAGGATTTGGGCTCTCCATTTGCCGTCCGCGAACAATCCATCATTTAAACACCTTCGATAAGTGTACTATCGACTTTGCCCTTACTACTGTGACCCAGGCTGACATCTGGATAAGGGCGAGCACCGGAGTATAGACGTCGACTCACGGAAATTGACACCAGGACTATCATAGCACACAGTGACAGGGAAACATCTCTGACGCATTATCCAGGTGGTCCATCTGTTCGAGTTACCTGTCAAACGTTTATCCCAACACACGATGTTCAGGTCTTGGTGCACAGGAGAAATGGCAAAGAGATGTGCTGCAGAAGAACTACTCCTTGGCGGTTGGTAGAAACACCGGACATACAGTGTTATGTATCCGACTGTGTTTTGAATCTGTTCAGGGAATTTGAGGTTGATGAACGTCCGATTGCCGATTTGCTACGCCTAGCTAGGGATGTGTTCTGTTCCACTCACGAGGTACGGTTTCCATGGTTGCTGATGTGTTGAGTATTGGATACTAACTTGAAAGCCTCTCCTCTATGCCATCTTCCAAATGCTCACTATCCTCCGGCTATTGCGCTTGGGATGGCAATTTGATGCCAAAGCCTCTGAGACATTGGATATGAATGTTGAGAACCATGAGAATTCGCCCTGGGACGGCCGAAATCCGGTACCACGAATGATCTCGAACCAGTTGACAATTGTACTCGAAGAAAGAATGATCAATATCGATAATTGGGTAACAAAAAGGTTCAATGACATTCTGACTAAACGCGTCCGCCTCAGCTGGATTGAGGTTTTCATGTCTACCTTCGTCTATGCACATGTTCGAGAGTTGGACGCCGGAAGGAACATTCATTGGTCTCGGCATCCTGAGTCTGTACGTCCCCTGCACGATCTCAAATGACCTATTGTAATCATATGTGCATTCAGTCACTAACACCAAGCATAGAATTACTTTTGGAGTCACCCCAAAAAGCCTTCAGAGCTGCTTGGCGAGGGCGTTGTCGATTGTAATGTGATGCTATCACAAGTCTATGCAGTATGCAAACCTGAAAAAGACTTCAAATCCTGGGACGATTATTATCGCAGGAAACTAGCAGAACCGCATAAAGAACTACAAACCATGGTTGAGAAGCTTCAATGTTTCGTCACTAAGCATAGTGAGTAACTTCGTTTTACTATCACTTACCAACCATATCGCATCTGACAGTTACAGGACACGAAGGATGGATAGGCCGTCAAGGCAAGCAAGAGTATGTTGAAGGAGATTCCAGCAGTGTGTCATATACGATGAGCTCCCTGGTGTTCTGTACACCAGACCAGAACCCAGTTGTGGATAATTTTGAGTAACTGATGATGATGTTGCTGTGAATCCGCTCTCGTGGGTCTTTTATATTTTTAGCGTCATGGGTTTGAGAGCTGGAGGAAATTGGCGTAAAACAATTTGTAAGGATCCCTCAACCAGAGGAGCAAATAGGGCTTTGGGCTGCGTGAGACTCTCCTTGTAATTAAGATATCAATCACTGGCAATGGACTGTAGCTACAATTTCGTACTGGGTCGAAGTGACATGATCAGCCTGCATATCTTAGTATCGCTACAAGTAGCTCTCTAATATAGAGACTGAAAAGAGGTACTCACTAAAGGGAGAATTACTTAACTTTTACGACTGTTAATAGGTGTCCCTAACCTCGAATCATATCTTACTGCCGGATAATTCTCACTGGATAATCGGTCATAGAAAAACTTCATATCTGTTCAAGGTATCAACGTCTTCAAGCCAGCGAAAGGGACGAATTTGATTATAATCCCTTTCTAAAAATTAATAAAGGGGTACAGAATTGGAATGACTTAACTCTACACTGAGAGATCGGTGGCGCAATTCACAATGAGGTTCACCACCTCTTGACATCTTATCGGGACGGACAAAGGTTAAGAAACTACGATAACCTAAGTGAGCCTCTTCTAGCCAATAGGGAAATAGGTGACCCCCTTGTCACAAATCTAGCCAATAGGGAGATAGGTG